GCGTGTCTTGGGCAAACACCGAAAAAGATGACTAAGTTATGATAAATGCTATCCAAATACTGTTCCTCTTGGAGAATGTGTGATCTTTTCCTTTTGATGTGCAGTCAGTGTTTGCTTTTTACTCTTTGAGGCTTTTAGCCAGAGCCTTGTGGAAGCTGGCAGACTCTGGCGGTGTAAACGTCGGTAAGGACCAGTTGTCGTTTCCTTCATGTGCCGCGCGGCATCTGTAATTGTGGTACCGAGAGTGCAGTCTTTATGGGCTTTGCATGGTTTTCCTGCCGTGAGGCCCGTTATCGTCTTGAGACTTGCAACTTGTTGCAGCGCTAGTAATTCAGTCTGGAGGGTGGTACTTCCCCGTGGGCTCTCTCTGTTCTGCGGCAGAACAGATGTTTCTGTTCACCTACAGGTGCTTCAGCTTTGTCGGGTTCTTCAGTCACTGCGCTCAGGAACCCTGTCCAGGATTGCGATCTTGGCTCCATTCAAGTCAGATAATAATGACCCCTGCGCGTTTTAATTTACAGGGATGGAAATAGACCAGATCACATTACTAATTAATATCCAAAATATATTTTTAAGCACCGTCCAAGAAAATAAGGATGGCGCCACGATAATCTGCGGGTTGATCGTGTTGTTGTATTCGATCCTGCGTGCACACAGTACAATAAAAAGGCACAACGTAAACTGTGATCTAAACCTTGTTGTATGCAAAATCTGCCGAACGTAGATGCTGCGCGAGATCTGGTTTCAGTAGCATGTGGGGGACAAGTTTAGATTTAATTTGTTTTTAGGTCAGTGATGCAGAACCGGTGGCTGCCTCAATTAGGTGCTGCAGCTGGGTTTTTCCTTGCTGTTTCAAAGAGGCCGCTGCCTTTGTAGAAAAATCGATTGGTTTGCAAACGGTTCAATTGCCCTCGCCTTCTTTCAGATGCACGACGTGCAAAATGATTCCTGGAGTTGAAAATTCATGATCCGTTTTGGAAGACTGTCCTTAGGAAAAGGCATCCGACCCTTGTTCAGTTTCCAGTGGAACAGTACGAAATGGCAAAATCCAGATGAAGGGAAACTTAAACCTGTCACAGCAACTTGGTTTGGAGAAATTAGGGCGAGTGTGAGACCTTGTTGTTAGGTGATTGAAAATTAACAATGATGAAAAGTTTCTTGGTTAGAGGCCCTACGTATGGCCTTTTAATTTTCCTGGAATCTCAGTCCTCCTCCGTTTTACAGGACTAGACGGTCACATTCCATTCTCATTTAAAGAATAGCTGCATTCTAAGCTTTTCTGTGCACTTGATCTCTTTTTTTTTTGTGTCATTTCCCATCAGTTTGCTGTCTGCAAGGTGAAGATAACACAGGTTCCTGTACGAGAGGGTTTTGGGGGACAAACGAGAGCGAAATATTTATTTTAAGAAGGCGGAAGGGTTCTGGAAACGCCAAGCTTTTCAGAACGACGGCACTTTTATGCTTCAACAACCCGAGTTTGAACTCGGATGAATGGCTTGCTGTGGGGTCAGAAATGATCGGTGAAGAAACTGTTACCCGGTGACGCCTTTCTTCCAGATGTCTTTAAGCATCACTGTAACATGAGCTCTCCTTGTAGTGATCTGGGTGTCGCCTTTATATTCCCGATATTTGGCGTGGTGAGGCTGACTTGGTTATGTTAAGGCTTTCTCTTTTGTCTGTTTCTGACGGCAAATTTCAGGAATCTTTTGTCCACAGTGAAAATGATGATGATGATTTCCGGTCAGTTAGATCCGACTCTCGGCGATTCTATAGGCCATCTCTCGCCACGCTTTCCGGTCTTGGACTTTCCCTTTCAGCTGTTCTGTGCCTAAGCCAGTGTCCGTTTTGATGGCGTCCAGCCAGCGCGTTCTTTGGCGGCCTCGTCTTCTTGTTCCACTGACCAACCCAAGCGTCATTGCTTTCTCCACTGAATCTGATCGCGTCACGAGACCAAAATAAGTGAGCCGGAGTCTGGTGATCTTTCCCTCAAGCGAGATTTCTGGCTTGATGCGCTCCAGAACCTCTTTATTGGTGACCCTTGCTGTCCACGGTAGCATTAACAGTCTTCTCCAGCACCATAGCATCCATCCTCTTTCGGTCAGCTTTTTTCAGGGTCCCACTTTCACACCCATACATTGATATGGGGAACACAATAGCATGGACCATCTTGCGTTTGGTTGTGAGGCTGATGTCTTTTGCTCTTCCAGATTTGGTGCATGCTCAGCATCGCACTACGGCCTAACGCAATTAGTTGCCTGATTTTCAGGGCCGCAGTCTCCAGTTCCCAGGAAGCAGAAAAGCTTGACGCATTCGAATTCTTCACTATTGATGGTTATTTTGACGGTGAAAATACCCATGTCTTTTTGTGTGTTTCTTTCTTCTGCCTGCATACCGAAAGGGCAAAAGGGAGGTGGGGGGAGAAACACTGTTTTTCAACCCGGCACTGAGCGCCCGTGAGGAATGCACCATTCCAGTTTCAGGTGGGCCTTGCCGGTCCGGTTTCTGATGCAGGCCGCGACGCTGCGCCCCCAGGAACGCCACCCAGCCCGGTTTAGGCTGAACGCGGCGGGCGTGTCCTCTGCCCAGCTCTGCCGCGGACTCGTTCGGCGAGTGGAACGAGTCAGGCCGGACGGAGACGCCCGCATCGGAGTTTAATAATGAATCCTTTCTTCGAGGGGGATGCGAGTAGACTCCAAGGCCCCAGACGAGAGTGTGTAGGCATCTCCCGAGAGCAACTGGGGACCCAGACAGCCGCACAGAACTCCATTCATTTTTCACGATGGCAGAGAAACGCTCTGGGGTCCCAGGTATTAAAAAGTGTCAGCGCCCACATATCTCACGGACGTTTGACGCGAGGCAGGATTTATGAACACTGCCGGGGCCGAGCTCCGTTTTCTGTGGAAAGATTGATCGGGAGATAATTGTTTTAAGTTGAAGTTTAGGCGTCCTGGCTGGAGCTGAACCTGTTTCCGGGTCATTTTAACAGGCCGGAAGGAAATAAAATAGCCAGAAAACATTACAAGGAACTAAAGATAACTAGAGTTTTTGAAGATTTGTGTCTCCCATCCTCCCCGCCCCCCTCAGATTGGCAATCAATGACTTTGGAGTGTCAAAAATTAAATATTGATCAACATTCGCTTTGGCCATTGACTGTTTTTTCTAAGCCCAGACGGAGAGCAGGCTTCAAGCAGTTAAATCGCACGTACGCCTCCTTTTAAATTAACCTGTGGAGCTAAAACGTTTGCATTTTTTTTTCTTCCGGTCTTGGGTTTTGGAAGGAAGAAGCTCGATGGAAGAATAATAAGCAACTCCTGAGGTGTGAGCCGTCTGCGTCTGCTGTACAGCTCTGTTCAGAATGTCATGTCAGGCCAGCACAAATCTTAGGGAGGCCATGAATGACTACACTTCGAGGTAGAAAGACTAATATTGTGTTAGAGATTGGGGATCTTTGCCAAGGTTTTTCTATCTTGACTTCCACAAATGGTATTTGTAGTCATCTATTGTCAGCAAAGAGAGGGAGTAGTGCCTGTCAGGAGGGAGGCCTGAAATTTCATGTAGCTGTAAATAAGCTGTAACTAGGGAGGGTTGAGGTGATTATGTATCAAGGCAGGTTTTCGAAACCAGGTAAATCAACAAACATACTCAGTGGGGCTGGCTGTAAGCAAAGGTTTTCGTCATGCTGGAAAAACGGGTTGAAATAAACCTTAACTCTCCGGTCACTGGGGGGGAAAAAAAAACAAACTTTTCCTTGCGTGTGTTTGACCTTGTCGGTAGCTTGGTACAGAAGGAGGCGCAGGAAATTGTCAGCAGCCTGTGCTGCGTTTTAAGGGCTGGCAACTGTCCGCCGCTGTTGAAAGAGCGCGCGGAGACTCTCCAGCCCTGTGTTTGCACACGTGTGGGAAGCTTGACGGCCGTGTCTGTATAGGGAAGTGTAGCTCTGCCGTCGCAGAGGGGAGGGACTGGTCGTTGTGGGTACGTTTTTTCTGTAAACCCGTGTTTGGCGCACTAGAAATGCGATGTGTTGAGAGTATTTTTTTTTTATATGCTTTTCTAAGGAGCAGATTTGTATGCCACGCGTTTCCCTGAGAAAAGCAGAACTTTTATGAGATTCCAGGAGATATGTGGAATCAGAGTAGCAAAATGCCAGCGATGCATGGCCTTAGTGTTTTAACTGCACCTCTGGAGAGGAGTTGGGGGGTTTTCGGCTTTTATTAATCGGAGCTCTTTAGCTTCTGTGGCGTTTCTCGGAACCTGGTTTCTTGCTCCAGGCATACTGGCGGAATCCCACTGTTGGAAAGTGGGGGAATACAGAGGGATGATCCAGATGCCCTGGGTTCGAGCCCGTTCACGTAATGGCTGACAGCGATGGGCCGGTTGGGGCTAGTCGGCCGGGGCTCTCTCGGCCGTCCCGTGGTTCTGAAACGTGAAAGGAAACCACTCTAAATCCGGGGGCAGCGCTCCTAGTGCGTTCGCACAGATCAGCAGCTATTACTCTGAAGGAGCTCCAATAATCAATAAATCAGTGTCGTGCGACCTTCATTTCCAGTAAAGGATATGAGGCGGCTCTGGCTTTTCCCCGCTATTCCTGGACGTCTGAGACAGTCCCAGTAAGGACAAGTCATCACGAAGAGTGTTTCTCCTCATTAATCTTCCCAACGGGCCGAAGTGAATTATGAGCCAATTATAGTCCGTGGTGTCCTGTCCACGGTGTGCCCTTCCTTGCTCCTGTAGCTCGCCGGGACAGGCTCCAGCTACCCCGTGATCCCGAATTAGATAAAGCTGTTAGAAAATGGATGGATATATACTGTATCTTGGGAGATACGGTTGTCTCACTACCTTTATCAATGGTGGGGGTGGACAAACTTAAAAAAAACACTGAATCCTATACATATCCTAATCATTTTTAAGGCTTCAAACAGTCCGTCAGATTGTTTCTTTATCCTTTTTTCCTCCCCCCCTCAGATTAAGAAAACCAAAACCTATTTTTTTCTCCCCCCTAGATCGAGAAGCTGTAGTCTTCCGGGACGTTGCTAGCTGCTGTACAGGAAGGATCTGGAAGGACAGTAGCCAGCGAGGAGGTAAGGAAAGGTGAGGAGATCCTCTGCTACAAAGAAAGACACGAGATGGAGCACGCTGTCAAACTGGAACAGACATAGTACTGTGGACTTAATTAAAGTGGAACAAGGAAGATTAGACTGGCTGGCAACCCACTGAAGCTCAGCAGGTGTGAGCCTGGGCAGTACCTGGATGGGAGACCTGGGAAAGCTAAGGCTGGTACTGGAAGAGGTGTTAGTGGGGCCAGCAGGGGGCGCTCACCCTGCGGTCCATGTGGGTCCTAATGCCCCAGTATAGTGACGCGGACACTATTCTGTAAACAGGCGCTGTCCTTCTGATGAGACGTAAAACCGAGGTCCTGACTCTCTGTGGTCATTAAAAATCCCAGGGCGTTTCTCGAAAAGAGTAGGGGTGTAACCCCGGCGTCCTGGCCAAATTTCCCATTGGCCCTTACCAATCATGGCCTCCTAATAATCCCCATCTGTGAATTGGCTTCATTACTCTGCTCTCCTCCCCACTAATAGCTGATGTGTGGTGAGCGTTCTGGCGCACTATGGCTGCCGTCGCATCATCCAGGTGGATGCTGCACACTGGTGGTGGTGGAGGGGATCCCCATTACCTGTAAAGTGCTTTGAGTGGAGTGTCCAGAAAAGCGCTATATAAGTGTGGGGCCCCTTTTAAACATCGGCAGTGGTGAGTTCAGATGCTGCATCTGCTCTCTGTGTCCTGCAGGAAAGAAGACCAAAGGGGCTTCTGAAAGCTTAAGTATGAGATCAGTCTCATTTTTCGTTGCACTTTTTGTTTATCACCTCTCCGGACTGTGTTTCGTGATCGTGTCTCCTCAGCAAGTCAGCTGCGGGCGACTGCTGCAAGTGATGATGAATCTAAAACTAAAAGGTGTTACAATTCAGAATTTAAATCTCACAAGTACAGCAGCTTAGACGGCACCGCAAGCAACAACAAAGAAACTGGTAATGTGGTTTCCTTGTGGTGTCTTTTATTTCACGTAATGGAACATAAAACTGTGCCTGTGGCTGGCTGTTCATGTGATTCTGCCCTCGATAACCTTGAAAACCAAATGAGGGTGCAGATTGAAGCGAACACTTTGGTGGGGGGAGAAATATCCATCAGAACAGCGACTACAGCTTCCGATAACTCAAAAGCGGATTCTTTGTGTGGTTGCTGACTTGAAGAAGAAAAAGAGGAAATCTGTACTGTAGTGTCCCCACAATCGCTGACGTTGGGTCGTCTTGCCTTCTGTGTCCTGAAGATACAGACTTGTGCAAGGAAAACGCATGATTGAAAGTTCTGGGTTGAATGAATGCTTGACACCGTGCAGATAAGGCTCGCTTGTAAATGCCATGGTGATGAGATAGAAACTGTGGTTACATGTCCTGGGATCACTAATGTACAGTACCCTTTGACTTACAGTAGACTTTGTTTTCAATATACGTCTTGCTTTCATGTGGGCCTGACCCTGTCTTGCAGGTCTGTCAGCGGAGTCCTGTACAAGCGAGAGACTGGCATTGTGCGTCTGGGTCTCGGCTTGGGAAAGGAATAAATTAGCAACAGCACCGTGAGCAGGACATTGTTGCTTGAGTCTCAGCTTCACTTAACAGCCAGTCTGCAAGTGTTAATAACTTCTGGCTTGTCTCTGGGCCATTAGCTACCAAACTGGTTGTTAACTTCTGCTTACAGCCCCTTCAGGGGTGGAGAGGAGCTCACTGCGTCTGGAACTTGCTGTTCTCAGACGGGCGCATGGGTTTTAGGTTTATTTCCACCTGATACTCTCAGAGGATGTTATTCCCTTACAGACTGGGCCTGCTCTCAGTGTCGTTTGGTCTCCCTTACGTAGCCTGCAAAAAATGAGGATGTGAAGCCTGTTAAACCGTCACACAATTATAGTCTGGTGTGCTGACCACTGAGCGATTGCACAGAAGGTTTGGTGCAATTGTAACATTTTATATGCATTAGAATTTCCACTTCTTGCTGTTTGTAACAAAATCCGTAGCAAATTGTGACAGTGTAGTTTCGGTATTGCTTTCGATTTCTGTTGCATGCCATGTAGCACACAAACCTTCACTCTTATTTAAGAAGTGTGAGTTTTGTTTCGAGAGGTTTGTCATCAGGCCATTTTCCACCTGCGGTTGTGCTCGACTGTTCGCTTCGCTTTTATTTCTCCTATATGCACAGTGGGTTGTCCGTTACCAGAAATCGTGAGCTCAAAGAACAGATCTTATTGGACCTTTGTGTAAAACCCTTCCTCGGTTCAATTCATATGCCAGTAAGGGTTCTTAAAAAGAAGCTAACTTACGACTCGGCTTTGGTGGCTGTGTCGGGTTTTTGTATCCTTCCCATGTTCATTTCCACTCTGTGTGACAGAATGCGAGGCTATTTTGAGAAAATCTCCTGGATACGTCTGGAGGTCCAATTTGGTGTGATCGCCTGGCCAGATGGCCTGTGAGTTTATCACACTGAGGCGTTCATGCGCAGTGCATTCATGGAATTGTGCTACTGGGGATGGAATTGAAACTGTGGCCTCTCCAGGCTCGGGCATGCCTTAGAAGCGGTGACCATGCTGGGGATGTGCTGAGGCTGCACTCTTTCCCGAACAAACCAAACAATTCCTGCCCGGGGCTCCCTTCCTTGCCGTCGGCTCCTGCCACTCTTCCGCACGGATGGGATCAAGCGCAGGCTGTCGTGCGACCGATTGGTGCTTCAGATCCCCATGCGAAATGGTGCCCTAGCGTTCGTTGTTATTGTTGATGGTTGCGAGAAAGCAAAGAGACTGCCTTTTTGAACAGCAAACTCCTCCGAACTGGTGGAGAATTGTTCTGGGGGCAGATCTGAGAATAAAAACGCATGGTTTGGAGCACGAGCAGGGAAGATCGGTTTAGAATGAGTAGGCTTTCTGGTACAGCGAACTGTCTCGACATAATCTGTTTGACTGCATGTTGCATACAATGCATTAAGCTGTTGTAATAACATTCATAGTGCCTTTGTAGATACAGATTAGCTGTCTTACAGATTTCAGATGGCAGGCTAGTCTGGGATAGGTATTGATTGGGGGCTATTTGTGACACTCGATGTTAATGTATGGCAACCAAAGGTCAAAACCTTTCAGATCCTTAATGGAATTAAGCGAGCCCTGTTGCATGGTGGTCCGAAAGGTTGGATTTGAAAAATATCCTCTTGCGCTGTGCAGACTCGCCGAAACTGCTGGAATGGATTCATGCCTGTGAGCTTGAGAAGAACTGTTCTGGGAATATTGCATTGTGCAAATGATATCGACTAATAAGTGCTGCTTCAGCTCCTTGTCAATATTGGCTCCCCTCAGGGTGATTTTCAAACCTTGGTCTCCCAGCTCGCAATCCTGTTCTTATAGCCCTTTTCCTCAATCTCCGGAGCACCCATCCGATACCTCCTTGATGGCCTTGAGCTGCTTTGGAGAAGCTGTGGAAATTTAAAGTCGAATTGCATTCCGCTGATTAACCAAGTGTCGGAAACTGAGCTCGTTCTGTAGAGGAGAAAGGGAATGTGTCTGCAGAACACTATATATACACTTCAAGAAATTAAAAATGTCCTGTAACTGGTCAGAGAAAGGAAGAGGGTTCGAGAGGGCTTGTTTTATGGGCTGAACGCTTTGAAATCTGCCAGATAAAATCTGGATCTTTAATAACTTTCTGACTACAGCCCTAACCGGTTTATTTCTGTGCAGTTGATCAGCAGGTTCTTTTCTAAAGCTCAGTAGCCTGCTATCGAATTCTTTTGCATCGTTCCCTAATCTGCCTTCTGTATGCAGATTACATCTGGGCTCTTGTCCTTTCTGTTGTGTGTTCAGGCACTATCAGACAGATCTCCTTTTTTTTCTCATTTGTCTTCTTCCTGTTCCTTAGGGGCTGCTGGTCTATTAAACAAATAGCCTGATTAAAAAGTAGTAATAAAAGTCCACAGGTGCAGGTCTTCTGTCTTGATGCATGCCATCGTAGTGCTGATAAAGGGCGGTGCGTTTTTATCTTGCTCAGGGTCGCACTGTGTTGTCATGTTGTGTGTTTTCGCTCACCTTTGAACACTCCCTGGTGGCCGGAGAGGCAATTTCCCAGGAACCGGCAGTTCCTGACATTGGTCCCATTCTCTAGTTTTTTGTGTTGCATATTGTACCGGGATAGGAGTTTTTTCTTCAGTTTTCTCTGCGTTAAACATTTATTTCTTTGCATTACCGGGCATCTTTACCATAGTTAAAGTGGCTTGACATTCAGCTGACCTCATAATAGTCTGAAATACCGCTGCCTGTCCTGCAGGCCTTAAACCTGAACACGCGTGATTCGACACAAGTACATTGCAGTTTGGGTAATACAGCACTTTTCTCTTTGTAAAACTGAGCCTGCAAAAAGTGGGGAGCTGCTTCACAGCACAGAATACCCTGTTTTTATGCTGCCTCGTCTGAGCTGAAACTACATTCAAGTTCAAGTTCATTGTCATTACACTCATATACATGGTATATGGTATAACGAAATGCTATTTAGCTAGCTCTCGGACATAAGTGGTACAAAGAGAAAAAAACAACACCAACAATACATTTGTGTAGCAAAAGAAAGATGGAGAGAACAGGCAGTGTGCAAAAAACAACAGGATGTGCAAATAAACAACAGGCAATGTGCAAAACAACAAAAAGGTAATAGGTTATGTGCAAAAATATGCATCAACAGAATAAAATTGTACAGAATAAAAGAATACATTGTACACCAGCAGCGTTTATAAAGACCTCCTCCTCCTCCTCGATTTGCACTCGTCTGGGTTCTCCCTCAGAGCTGGGACTGGCAACTCCCCCTCGGATTTGTCCCCTCGGATGCTGCAGCCGTGGCGACGGCGGGGAGGGGGCCGAGGGGGGGAGAGAGAGGCAGCGGCGCGCGATGCTGGAACAAAAGGGGAGTGGGGAGGTGCCAACGGATGCCGGTTTGGGGCCCCAGCACGCCTCCGACGACTGCTCTCCCAGTCCCCCGCGCGTCAACCCAGCCTGGTTCACACATCTG